CTGACCAGATAAAGCAGCAGTGATTTCACTGGCAGCCATCTGCTACTGAATCTTGTTGTCAGAGTAACTAAAGTTAGTACTCCAACCCAGATTCTGGTGAATTATCCATTTTTTTATATTGTTATAAAGGACCTCTATCACTGATAATTTAACCGACGAATCAGTTGCTATTATTAAAAAGAAAAAAGCAAGTAGGTCACTTTTTTCTTTTCAAATTTACAAAAGGTTCCATATAATACTTATAAATTTTCAAATGTATCATTTAGAGTTAAAGCACAAAAACTGTTTCTATTTCTCAAACACAGAAAACACTGCATTGTTGGGTGTGGCGGGCCATGACGAGGCAGAGGACTACCGTGAATGAGAGAGCAGCCTGGGCCATCAGGTCCAAGCCAGGCTAAGCTGCAGTGAGCGCACCAGGAGGAGGAAAGTGCTCGAGAGCCAGCGTGGGGGCAGCGCAGAGCACTGGCTATTCCTCAGAGCATCTGAGTTCAGTTTCCAGCACGCACTCGATGGCTCACAAGTGTCTGTAATCCCAGTTTCCAGGGACCTAATGCCTCTTTTGTGCTCTAGGCACACACACGCATGTGGTTCACAGATTATATATGTAGGCAAACACCTAAACACATAAAAAATAACTATTTGAAGTGGGGAGAAGAAAGGAAAGGGAGGGAATGAGAAAAGACTGAAGCGTGGAGTATAACATAGGTTCCTATTACGTAATCCTAGATCTCAGTGTAGTCTCTAACTGCCAAGTGTGTCTCAGCAGCCCTCCTGTCTCAATCTCTCTAGCGATGGGGGAAAGCTATTAATATCATTGAGTAGCTTTTATTATCTCTCAAAGCGTAATATTAACTATCTCAAGGCCAAAGGGCCAATAGACTTATTACACTTTTAAAGTTTTCCCCACTCATTATGAATACAATAGTATCCTAATAACTAGAAAGTTGCATGGCCTATTGCAAGTACTATGTGCTGACTTGAGGAAACTAAATTTTCAAACACTATACATACCGCAGATAATGTTTGAGCCCCAAACTGTTCTCCACAGAGACTAAGTTCATTCTTAATTACGATGGCTATTAAGAATAGTTGGACTAACTAGGAGAAAAGAAAACCTAAAACGTAAAAATATATCAATATTTCCCCAAAAGAGTCTAAAGATTTAAAATTCTCAAAAGATTCTTAAAATCAAATTCTTGTCTTTCAGAAGTTATGTTTTTTTTATTTTTATTTTTGGTTTTTTGAGACAGGGTTTCTCTGTATTGTTTTGGAGGCTGTCCTGGAACTCACTCTGTAGACCAGGCTGGTCTCGAACTCATAGAGATCCGCCTGCCTCTGCCTCCCGAGTGCGCCACCACCGCCCAGCAGAAGTTATGTTAATAAAAACAACTATCATTTGTTGTTACTCATGCTTTCCTATTGAGAAAACTCACCGTGGTCCAAATTTTTAAAAACTGAGGCATAATTTAGAGTAAAACAAACACAATAAGCAGGTAGTTTCATTTTGTGACAAACAACTGTACTCCTGCAGCTACCAGTAAGCGTTTCTGTAAATAGCTGTTTACCTGAGAAAGTCTTTTCCTGAATCTGTCTAGAATACCCCTCCACTAACGAGTTCTGCAATCCAAAAGTCCTTTATTCAACATAAAGTTGTTGAAATCACTGGATGGTGGTGGCTCATGTCTTTAATCGTAGTACTTTGGAGGCAGAAAAGGGGCACATCTCTGTGAGTTTGAGGCCAGCCTGGTCTAGAGTGAGTTCCAGGACTGCACAGCAAAACCCTGTCTTGAAAAAAACAAACAAGCAAGCAAAAAACAAAAACAAAAACAACAACAACAAAAAAACCAACAAATAAAACAGTTGCTGAGATTCAGCTAGTGGATTAAAAAGTCTTTCTTTTTTATTGCTGACCAGTGCACTACTTTATGGATATTACAATTCACTCGCCTATTGCTAGATATTTGGTTTTTTCCAGTTTGGTGGAAAGTTAAAAATAAGGGTGATAATACATAAACAAGACCTCATGTGGATGCATGTTTTCCATCTTATCCTGCTTCTAAATTACAGGCTCAAAACTTGTCCCTTGGACAAGTAATAACAATGAACTTATTACAGGCTGGTATGCTTGTGTTACTCTGAAAGATACATTTTGTAGACCAGGCTGACCTCCAACTCAGAGAGATTCACCTGCCTCTGTTCCCCACCACACACAACCCTAGTGCCAGGATTAAAGACATGTGCCACCACCACCTGGCTCATTTGATAGTTTTTAAGTATTTTTTGTTAAGTTTCAAAGAAGTGAACTAATTCACATGGGCAAAAATATCATGGCTAGCTTATGAATCTAGAAATAAACTGTTTTCTGACTTTTGAAGAGGAACATTTTTCTTCCTACAGTTTTATTTTTATCTTTTTAACTTTTTAAAAATTTTTATTAAAATAAATTATGTCTTAGAAACATGCATGCATGCTTCCAGTTTTATTTTTAAAGCTTGTAAGATGATAGAAAAAGTTTTTTAAGGTCAATATATTATGTTTCCAAAGAGCAGAATTACACTAATTTACCTTTAAGGCCTTATTTTTGAGAATTTAACAGAAAGAAAGATGGTTTTTGACAGACTAAAACTGTCGGTATTTAAGCCCTGTGTGATAATCTAGAATTTCTAAAAATGCAGATTCATAATGAGAGAGCTGTGGGGTGGGGACCAGCTAAATCTAAATAGGGAAAGAAACAATTCCAACTACAACCTTTCTCGTTTTCACAGAAGAAAATGATACTTTTGGTCTCCTAAACATGCACATGAATTTCTTAAAAGCTGTCTTCTCAGTTTTTATTTCAATGAAAATCTATATTATAGATCTACTCTGAAGAGTGGCGTCTGAGTGAAAAGTAGCTTGAAGGTGTTTACTGATACTCCAGAACAGAAACTATCACTGTCACTGTCATATTCAAAACAGAATTTTTTCACGAAGCTGTTATTACAAGCAGGTTAATGCTTCTTAGACAAGTTGCCAATACAGATTATGACAACTAAACATGTAGACACTATATTGGGGGCTTACATAGCTACTCCTAAGACACCACACTTAAGCAGGCCTGAGAACAAAAACAAAACAGATATTGGAATTGTCATTATTTTTGAGAAACAGTCCTAACATATATTTTAAGCTGAAAGTCATTACACACTATTGATTTAGGAGGGGAAAAGTTATGGTTGAAGTTCCTTAATGTCTTCAACAAAGACGAAATACTTAGTGACAGGAGTGACCTGTAAGAAATCATGCTTATAAAGTCTTCTAGCTACTAAACTCGTTGTCATACTATCTATTTCAAGCACATTTCATCTATTAAAAAAAAGTGAACCTAGTATGTCATAACCAACACTTATAATGCAAGTTGCCCTACACTGGGGGGATGGAAAACTCTTTCATTTTTGACTGTTAAAAACCTAATTGACGCATATTATTCGAATAAACTGGTGAAGCAGAACAATGCTATAAATGACTATATCGCTTTGGCTTTGCATTGCCAATTCAGTGAACACGTTTAAGGGTATATAATTCAAAGGGGAAAACCAACTGTCTATATATACTCAACATTAAACGACAACTAATTTTAAAATACGGAATTCTAAATTTCAAGCTATAAGGGATGGGATGGCAAAGTACAAGATTAGTGTTACAACTGCAGGGGGATCACACTTTAAAGAAATGATAGAGGAGAGTCGACTCTTTACACGCTACAGTTTTAAAAAATAAAATCTCTTAACACAAGAGGTTTGGCTGTTTGTAGAGTACTGGAGATTTGGGCTGCTTTTCTTCTTTTGCTATTTTTATGTTACCTCTGGTGTCTACATGTTTCTCTAGTGTTTACTAGTCGGCTACCATGCTTTCTAATCGATTTCCTATACTCTACTGGGTCTCTTAACTCAAACTCCACCTGCTCGTTAGCAGAACAGCTGCCACTGATCATAAAAATCTGTAACTGTTAAAGTCTGTATGATAGAGTCTATCCATCTGAACCTATGACAAGTCTTTTCTATTGTCACCCCTCATCCCTGAGAGGGACCAGCATCAAAAGCACACCTGTTTTCGGGAAGTACTCAAGCAAAAATAGTGAACTTGGAATGGAGTTGACACCCGTCTCTAAATATCCCTCACCAATTTGGTATTAATTCCATCTTCTGGTTCGCGGACCCAAGTTTTTCTTTCATCAGTCTTCCAATTGCTCTATGTTAAGTCAGCTATCTCTAGAAAGCTGCAGGATAATCAAGCCTACTTACCTCAGAATTATCTTAATCCATGTTTGCACTCCCAGACACTCGGGAGCTCCTGATGTTGTCACCATCCTTCCTACACAGCCTGGAGATACGGTGTAGAAAGATCTTCTACATGTAATGCTCCAAACCCAACACAACCTTTCAAGTACCGACAGCATCTGCGGACTTTCAGCCATGGCTCAAGTGCTGAGTTGTGGGACCCTTTTCACACAGGTAAGGACCCTGAGTCCACTCACTGTCAAGTCCTGAAATCACACCAGCCTTGGACTACTGTTTGGCTACCTTTTCTCCTCCTCAACTTGCTCCAGGAACTGTAGTTACGGAGGTGACCTCAAGCCTCCACGTACCGTGGACAACAGGTCCCTTCTGATTTCGCTCGTGAAAGAAAGCATCACACGCGGTTTACGCCTCCCCCGCGCGCAGGGCGCCCCCTGACAAGGACGGCCAGGGCTTCGCAGCAGGCGCGCGGCAGGGAGCACGTGAGCCACACCCGCCGCCCCTAACTCCGCGCCTCCTCTCCGGCCCCAGCCCCGAGGGTCTCCTCGGAGAGGCGCCCCTGGCTGCCCGGCGCCGCACAGGCGCACACGGGGCGCGGGTCACGTGCTAAGGTCTGGCGCCGCGCCCCGCCCCGCGCTCTCCGCGACCCCCTCCCCCGCCCGGTCCCTATCCCTCTCCCGGGGGCCGCGCGCGTGGAATGGACGGGCGCGGGAGGGCTACCTGTGAGGCGGGCGAAGCCGGTGATGCTCTCGGGGACCGGGAGCTGCTTGAGGTAGGCGGGCAGCTGCACCTTCACGATGCGGGCCACGCTGTCCAGAACCATCCTGCCGCCGGCGTCCGCTGCCCGGCTGCTGCGCTTGCGTGAGAGCGGAAGCGGCCGGCGGGCTCGCGGGCTCGGGCGGGAGGATGGCCTGCCAGGCCGCGATTGGCGCGCGCGAGTGACGTGCGCGCTGCGGAGCCGAGCGGAGCGGAGCGGTGCGGACCCGGCCTGCCACGCACCGCGCCGGGCAGAGGCCAGGGACGCTGCTGCCTCACCGGAAGCCGCCCTTCCAGAGCGCGTTGCCCTCGGTTCCTCGGCTCTCCCACCCCCACCCCCACCCCCGGCTGGCTGCGGTCCCGGCCCGGGGCTGCGAGTCCAGTGAGAGCACCCCAACCCTGCTTCACCTGCCTTGTAAGCCGCGGTTTAAAAGAATCCCTAAGCAAGAGCTGCGTAGGGATTGTTCATGTTTCTTCTCCGCAACTTTAGTCTGCAGCTCAAGGAGCCTGTGGCCTCCCCCCACTGTCGGCCACTCTGACGAGTCACCATAGTTCGCGGTTAGATTTCAGTTTTCAGTTCCCTCTGAGGGTGAGTTGACTAAAACGCTTCAGGGAAGTGTTTGGTTTGGTTTGAAGGCAAAAATGAGAGTTTACCTTTTGTTTTGCTTCTGTGAACGCTTTGTAACCCAGGCTGACGTCAAGGTCAGTAAACTGAGTAGAGCTTCTGTCTCTCCTGTCTTCATCTTCCAAATGCTGGTGTTACCACGCCTGCCTTGTGGAGCTTTGTTACAAGGACTTGCTTGCTTCTTGTAAAGTTTAAAAATAGGAAGTTTTACTTATTTTGGCTGAAGTCAGAATAGCCAGAGTAGTGTGCTGGTGGGCTAGGGACTCCTTTGGACCAAGAAGCCTGCTTTTGGGGAAGCTAGTTGGATCTGCAGGCTTCACGGTCACTGAAGATGGACCGCCTCGTTCATTCCCCTTTACAATACTGGGAGCTGCAACTGCAACTCTGATTACCGGTCACAAAAAAAGAAAAAAAAGGGGGGATCTAAACCACATCTCTGGTCTTGGTGAAAGCGTGACATTCTAAACTGACCCAAAGATCTTAAGTTGGCTACCTGATGCTGAGGAGGAGGGCTTTCTCCTAAGAATAAAGACATAACCATTGTTCCTCTCCCTTAAAAGTTCATCCAAATGGGCCTGTCAGGAAAATATCCCCTAGGAAAACTGTTCGAGAAACTTAGAATTTAAATCGTGTACTTTTAGATAATCACAGCACCGTAGTTTCTTTAGCTGCTGTCCACTGTCGCCTCTTGAAAGTGCTCACCTCTGCAGTGTTCCCTTTGCTCGGTGCCCGCTTTCACTCTTGGTGAGTGCCATCCTTAACCATTCAATAAAATCTGTCTTCACCACTATCCTGCGTCTTGTCTAAATTTTTTCAACAGATCACAAGGACTAGGGAGCTGAGGGGATCCCGACTAGAGCAAGTACCTGGTAAAAGTCTCAGAACTTGAGAGTTCTATAACATACAGTATTTGGTATGCCAACATAACATTAAGTTGTAATCAATATTTTATTTTTTACTGGTATTTTAAAGTTGGAAATAGCAAACTGTCCTTTGAACTGTATCTTTCACTAAAACACTAAAAAGTAGCAGGTAGTAAAAACCTCTAGGCGGGCACTTGTGAGGCAGAGGTAGGTGGATCTCTCTGAGTTTGAGGCCGGCCTGGTCTCCAGAGCTACACAGAGAAACCCTGTCTCAAAATAATAATAAAAAAAACAAACAAACAAATAAAAACTTTGAAAAAATTTCTTCATTTTTAACCAGATTAGGTTGTCCAAGTATAATGGAAATTGCATATATTTGGATATCATGATCTGTGGTATAGCAATATAAATGATACACAGAAAAAGTGATGATTTAAAAGTCAGTATTTATATTAGGATTTCCATTCCTTTTGGCAATTTGGTTTTTCTTTTTTGTCTGAAGAAAAAAGAACCTGAAGTTGTTTGTCTTAAAAGGGTGAAATTTAAGCATTGTTGGGCTGTGTTATCTTTAACCTCTGCTGACCAGGTGTACCACCCTTATGGAAATGACTGAGGTAGTGCTCGCCTCTGCTGACCAGGTATACCATCCTTGTGGAAATGACTGACGTAGGTTGGGAGTAAGTTGAAGAACATTTGAGAAAGGACATTGGATATTTATTTTTTTCATTCATTTTGACAAGAGCAAAGTGTGCTTTGTTGAATTACATTCTTAAGACCTCCACAGTTTTTTTCACTTAGGATAAAAAAGTAGGTACCTCTCTTACAAGTACAGTAAGTTGTTCAAGTGCTAGATTACAATTCAGTGTGCCCAGTACCCTTGTCAACACACAGGATATGTCTAATACCCAGAGAGATTCTCAGGAGTCCTCATAACCACATTTGCAACACCACCACTGTAATTGTTTTGCTCTGTATGTTTTGAACTTTATATAAAAGAGATTACACTATTTTGGGTTTGGTGTGTGTGTGTGTGAGAGAGAGAGAGAAAGAGAAGCATCATACTGGTTTGATATTTTGCCTTGAAATCCCGAAAAATATGGATCATAGATTAACCACTGCTATTGCATGGCAAGTGCCACACTGAAAGATAGTTCTGGGCCTGGAGAGATGGCTCAGCAGTTAAGGGCTCTTGCTGCTCTTGAAGAGGACCCAGGCTCAGTTCCTAGCAGCCACACGATAGCTTATAGCCATCCACAGCTTCAGTCACAGGTGATCTGAGATCCTCTTCTTGCCTCCTCAAGTGCCAGGGGTGTACACAATACAAAGAAATATGGGCAGGCAAAATACTCATACACCTAAATATCTTTTTAAAACATTTGTAAAGAGAGCGGGGTGCAAGGAGGGCCTTACCCTCCCTGGGGAATGATGGGATTGGCTGGGGGGCTGCTGGAAGGACAAGGGAGGAGGGATGGGAGAAGGAGCTGGGACTGACATGTGAAGCATGCATGTCTCTAATTTAAATAAAAACATGTTGAGGAAAAAAAAAAGACGGGGCGGTGGTGGCGCATGTCTTTAATCCCAGCACTCGGTAAGCAGAGGCAGGCGGATCTCTGTGACTTCTAGGCCCTCCTGGTCTGCAGAGAGAGTTCCAGGACAGCCTCCAAAGCTACAGAGAAACCCTGTCTCGAAAAACCAAAAAGGAAAAAAAAATTTGTAAAGATCCCACCAACTATGAAATCCTTACTTGGGATATTTTCTTTGATTCCTTTTTTATATCTTGTGACACTTTCTAAGTATTTATGTGTGGGGGTGTTTGCCTGAATGTGTGTCTGTGGATCACATGCATGCCTGATAACTCTGAAGACCAGAGGATGCCTTGGGACCATCATTGGGTTCTGGGAATTCAATCCAGGTCCTCTGTAGAGCAGCTAGTGCTCTTAACCACTGAGCACCTGTTCAGCCCTTTTATTTCTTTTTTCGAAGTGGTCACAGGTAGTCCAGTATAACCTTGCATATGCCACTATACCTGGTACATTCTAATTTTTTTGTTTTCCATTTCAACAATCCTGATTTCTTGGGTGTGATATCTTATTTCTTGGTTATCAACTGGACTGTATCTGAAGTTAACTAAAACCCTGCTGGGTACACCTGTGATGGATTTTTCTCTTAAATAATTTGAAATGGGAAGAACCAACTTTAATCCAGATTTTTTTATTATTATTTAAATTAGAAACAAGCTTGTTTTACTTGTTAACCCCAGCTCCCTCTCCCTCCCCCATCTTTAATCTGGGCCACACCTGCTGACAGCCTGTATAAAGGACATGGAAAAAGGAAGTTTGTTCACTCTACCCTCTCCCCTCCTCCTTCCCCTCCCCCTCCCATTCCTTCACTGGATTCTTGGCCCTTCCAACGGTAGACAGCCATTGTTAGATTTGCTAGACCACAGCCTGTCAGCCATTTTAAGACACCCCCTATAGATAGACAGACACATGATAGAGAAATATAAATAGATAGATAAGAAGCAAGCCAGCAGGCAGACTGATGATAGATTCATTCATAAGTCTGTTCCTCTAGAGAACACTAATACATTGGGTATTCATAAGAAAACACCTGAAACTATTCTGTTGTAAAGAGAAGTAATATGCCTGGGAATCTAGACAGTTTGATCAGCTGAAAAGTGGGATTTAAAAACAAATGATTGTTATTTTTCTTCTCTACCATGTATGAGGCTAGACTATATCACTTGGCTTCTTAGACTACATAACTGAAAGCTTGAAGCTGATGACCTCTCGCTTTCACGTACACACCCTTTCCTATTCAGCCCTTTGAACCCATGGCAAGTTCTACTTTGTCTTCCAGTTGCTTGTGGAAGAGCCAAATGGCTTTCTGGAAAAAACTCCAATTACTGAGGCATAGTTCCGAGTCTTCCTTTATTTGTATTACTTCAATGAACTCTGGCAGTCTTCACTAATTTGTAGCTTTCCAATGCCTTTAAAATAGGTATGCCTGTTTTATTTTGGTTTACCATTTCTTGTTGTTTGCAACAAAAGTATGAGCAAAACTTAGATCTTCATGATCAGAAGTAGAACCTAGAGAATCCCATCTGTCTTTTCCTCTGTCTCTGACACACAGTCACTCTAGATAGCTCAGGCTGGCCTCAAACGGCAATACTCCTGCTCCTGCCTCTGGAGGGTGGAAGTACTGGCATTACACACCATGCTGGCCTCTGATTATCTTCCATACAATAGCACAACATTGAAAACTTCATTGTGAAACATTGTAACGAAAGCCATGCTTTATATGGTAGTGATAGGCAAAAACAGACATGAGAGGGAAGAGTAGAAACAGAAACCCAAGGAGTATCTACAATAGATCAAACATGAGTTGATGAGAGTCACTGTGGAGAATGTAAAGAATGCCTGTTAGAATCACAAGACCGGTAATTACACTGATCCTGTCACCTCTGGTAAGTCATTTAGCCTGTCTGATGCTGCTTCCTTATTTACAACTAGCCACCTCATAGGTCCTAAAATATTTGGATGAAATATTAATCACTTCTGCTTAACCTATGGAATTGTCACTAGTGATGAAAAATACATTATAAAATTTAAAATGCAGTATGTACTGGAAATTGATGAAGGAAAAAACATGAAAGTCAGAGATTAATATATTGGGTCTTAGTGACTAGAAAAAGATATTCACCTTAAGCAGGTCAGTC